CGTCCGCTGCCGGCTGCCCGGGCCCCGATCGCTCATCCTGCGATCCCTCGCCCGCGGCTCCCTCGCTCTCCAGCCCGCGAAGCCGGCGAGGCGGAGCCGGAGGCGGGGCCGCCGTGCAGTGGCCTCGGGCGGGGCCGAGGCTCCGCGGGCCCCTGCGCCAGCTGGGTCGGCTCGGCACCGCCCCTTACCGGAGCCTACTGCCGCGCACCCTCAAAGTGGAGCCCTGGGCGCACATCCCTGGCACACCTGTCACTCAAGCAGCCCACCACGGCCAGTGGTCCAGCTCTCTCCAATCCTCACAGCACTAAGGCGCGGGAGACCACTAGGGCCCTAAGTGCGAAGTACCTGTCCCCGTGGGAGAGGGCGGCATCTGGCTTGGAATGGGGGGGATGGGGGTGTGAAGGCCAAATGAGACGTGGCACATCTGTAGGGTACAATGCAGGCCACTGCTCCAGCTCCTGCACAACTCCACGTCGTGGATGCCTGTCCTCTTGAGTTTCGCTGGTGGCTCACCTGATGGCCTCCAGCCTGCCTGACAGATTCGTGCTGGGCCCCCGGGGACATCCCACAGCAGCACAGCAGGTTTTCCTGGCCCAGAATGTGGGTCAAGGGCTTTTGCCAGCACCTTCAGGCCGCAGCCCAAGTCAGGACCCCCTTGCATCACACCAAACCCAAGACTCCCAATTCCACCCAGCAGCCCAAAGCAGGCTCAAACCACAGACCACACCATGTCACCACAGCTTCCTTGCAAAAACCCTCGGCGTATCCGAGGGCCAGTGGAGATTTATTTTTCTTCCTTTTCCACCTTTCCCCAAGTGGCTTTTCCTTGCAAAATGCCCGACATGACACCAGAGGGGAACCTGGGAGAAGAGGCCCCCTCCCAGAGGGGCAGCCCAAGGATTTAAATAGACGCTGGAGAGGAGGAGAAGGGAGGGGAGGTGTGGGGAGGGGCAGGCAAGAGACAGCAGAAGGGTCATGGCTTCTCAGGTAAAGACCAAAGGTTTTCTGCAGGAAGCTGTGCCAGAGGCTGGAGACCAGGATTCTAAGCGGGAAGGGGGGAGAAGAGTGTTCCCCAACCCTAGGTTGCACCCATATTCCCCAGAGAAGTAGCAGAAGGGATGAGATTCTGGCCCCTTGGGCTCCAAGGGATGACAGGAGATCAAGCCAGATGTGCTGCTGCCTCAGGGAAAGAGAAGTGGTGCTGGCAGAGTGAGGGTTAAGGCTGGTGCCCGGCCTTTGGCACGGTGGGCCTTCCGCCTCCGCCTTCCTCAGGAACAAAGGGGCACGGTGGGCAGGCAGCATATGGGCTGGCTCTGGCAGGGCAGGGGGAGGCAGGAGCAGGCTCCCTCTGGACTTGAGACACAGGCCTGGCTCAGCCATCCACCCACCTACCCTGGCTGTGCTCAGACCCCACCTTAGCTGGACGGCTCAAACTGAGTGCAGGAGCAGTGGAGGGGAAGAGAAAGGAAAAGGTGGGCTGCTGGGCCCCCATGGCCCTGCACCTGTCCTGAGGTCCAACCCAGGACCCTGGATCCCAGGTCCTGGGATCCCCTGGTCACTGCAGCCAGGGGCAGTAGAGGCAGGGAGGCCCTCAGCTCTTGGGAGGGAAGTTAGGAAGAGAGAAACCCAGTGCAGCATACATGGGGGTGGGAGACAGCAGAGCCCTCATTCCAAAGAAAGGTGAGTGATGGGCATCTTTTCAAGGTACCTAGAGGCAGCAGCAGAGCAGCCCCTGCAAGCACCCTGGCCACAGGTTCTACATGTCCTCCCTTGGGGGCCCTGACAGGACTGGGGCTCAGGGCAGAAGGCAGATGGGCCAGAGGGAGATGGGGAGCCCAGGACACCCCAAAGCCACAGACTCAAATGCCCCAGGAGAGGGAGGCACCTCCTGCCCCCTCCAGGGGCATCATCTGGAGAAGGCATCCTTTCCTGTCCCACCCCAAGTACCCCTCCTAGCAACAGCCACCACTAGCCGGCTTCACAGGGGTGCTATCAATCTTCAGGTTGGGCCGTTCACCCCCGGAAGCTGCCCCTGGCCCCATCCGCTTTTTGATTTCCGCAGCCATCGTCATGAATGCCTGTTCAACATTGGTGGCGTTCTTGGCACTCGTCTCCAGGAAGGGGACACCCAGCGAGTCTGCAAACTCCTGACAAGGGAGAGACGCAAAAATGAAGGGAGAGAAGGAGGGTCAGCAGGCCCCAGCCCCCTGGCTGCACTGCTCACCTTAGCTGTGGTGTTGTCCACAACTTTCTTGGTGGTGAGGTCACTCTTGTTGCCCACCAAGAGCTTATTGACATTCTCACTGGCGTAGCGGTCTATCTCTTGTAGCCACTGCTTCACGTTAGCATAGGATTCCTGGGCACAGGGTCCAAAGTTACTGAGTTCCTGACTCCAGCCCCACCCAAGCCCGGAGAACAGGGCTCCTTTGAGGGAAATGCAGAAACCCTGAGCATGGAGACCCACATGAAGCCCTCCTCTAGGCTTGGCTTTCCCTCTTGCTCTTTCATGTGGAGTTCTGAAAGCCAGGCCTAGCACTGAGTAGCTGCCAGCCAGCAGCCCCTCTACAGTTGCCTGCAAGCCATCCATTTCCTACAGCTGTCTCCCCAAACCACTCCTGGGCACAACCACATGTGGAAGCCAGAAGAGAGGCAGGCCACATCAGGAACGGTTGGCATAAGCATGGTCCCAGCTCTGAGGGAGGCTGAGGCAGGAAGACCACAAGTTCAAGCCAGCAACTTAGTGAGACCGGCTCTCAAAAGAAAAACACGAAGAGCTGAGGCAAGTGCTCCACTTCTAAAGCTGCTGCTCCAGTCTTCCCTGGGAATTCTGAAGTCCTGCAGCCCAGCAGGAGGTTCTGCACAGGGGAGGCCCTGGCCTGTGAGGGAGATGGCTGTCCTGGGTGCACAGCTGAAGGCTCATCCTTCTGCCATCACCTGTCTCAAGACTGGGCCTTGGACTCTCCCAGCAGCCTGACACTGAACTTGTGCAGACAGAGGGTAGAGCTTCTAGCACTGTGCTCAAGCCAAAGCTGCTTTTCCTTCTTCAGGACTCACTGGGCTTTAATGTACATGACCTCGTCCTGAGCTGCTACATGCTGCGGATGAAGAGGGGACTTCATGCCTGGGCCTGCCCTAAAACACTCAGGGGCCAGTGGGGGAACAGACCTGGACACACACAATGGCAAGACAGGATCAAAATCCAGAGCTGGGAAGCTACAGCTGACCTGGGCCTGCAGGTATGGACTTAACTAATGCAGAAGGCACTACCTAAGGAGACAGCAGGTGGTGTATCACAGAATGGGGAGGGAGTGGTATCTCTGGAGAGTGGGAAGTGGGATTATTGGTGGGATGCAGACTGTGGAGAAGAGGGGTAGATAAGACAGAGCCCAAAAGGTCTTAGCTTGGCTAAGCCTGGGACAACCATGAGCCGGCAGGGGTTTCCTCAGATGAAGGGATCACGTCTGTGTTCTGGAAAGGTTTGGGCAGGATTAGGGCAGACCAACAAGAAGATGGAGATCAACTTGTAAGTGGCTGGAATAATCCAGAGTAATGCCCTGAGTCAGGAATGTGGCAGGGAAGGGCACAGAGGCTTAGAGTCAGGCTATCTTGGCTACTGCCTAAGCTAGGCCATTTGCTGTGTGACCTTAGATGTATCACCTGACCTGAGTATACAGTTTCCTGTTTTGTATACAATAATATGTCCCAGCAAGGCTGTTGTCTGCATGAGAATGAATCTAGGCCTGCCTCATAACAAGTGCTTGATTAGCAAGCGCTGCTATTATCCTCATCACAGCTATTATTATGAGGGGATGGATCTGAAATGATGGGGAGAGAATAGAGGGGCCTGAGACTGACTGCACAGGGGAGGAAGTTTTCTGGTTAGGCTTACAGGGATTATGTTACAAAAATGAGGATGCGTGAGACGGGTGGGGGAAGAGATGGTGAGGCCAAGTGCTGGAATCTGAGTTCTACAGCTGGTCTGGAGCCCAGGAGAGGCAGCTGAGGGCAGGGAAGGGGCTTTGCCTTTCCTTACTGGGAGACCAGGGGCAAGCTGAACTCAATACCTGTGGAAGCACGTTTCCTCATCTGGCAAACAGGGACCCTACCACTTAGTTCACTGGGTAAGATCATGAAGACACCCATTATATAGACACCAAGGACCAGCACAGGCAGACACAGAGAAAGGACCCCATGGTCACATCTGTCTGAACACAATCACAGAACCAGGGGCTGGAGAATGGCTCTGCTGTTAAGAGCACTGGCTGTTCTTACAGAGGACCCAGGTTGAGTTCCCAGCACCCACATGGCAGCTTACAACCATCTGCAACTCATAACCCCAGTTTCAGGAGATCCGACACCCTCTACTGGTCTCCTTGAGCATTACATGACATGGGTACACTTACATACATGCAGGCAAACACTTGTACACAGAGAAATAAAAGCACTACTAATAAGGAAAACACAGGGCACAAGAAAAAAGCACAGAGGTGGCCAGTGCTCTGCAAAGGACAGTAGAGGTGGCTGGGCCAGAGTTAGCAGGAAATACAGGTTAGTGGGCAGTAAGGGTGATTCAATTAACAAAGAAAAGACTGAAGGGGCTAGGGGTGCAATCCATAGGCAGAGATTACATGCTTAGCTGGGAACAAGGGAGCTGTCAATAATATTTTTAAGGAAGGAGAAAACAGAATTAAAAGTCACAAGAGGTCATTCTGGGTGATAGTGGAAACAAGGGACCTCTGAGTGGTACAGAGCTCACTCAGCTTGTTGCCAGAGCTGGGAGGTAGAGGCAGGAGCATCATGAGTCCCAGGTGAGTGGCTGATGCCTCTCACCTTATTATTATTATTATTATTATTATTTTTGGTCTTTTTGAGACAGGGTCTCCCTGTAGCCCCAGCTGACCTTGAACTCAGAGATCTGCCTGCCTTTGCCTCCTGAGTGCTGGGACTAAAGGTATGTACCACCACGCCTGGCCTGATGCCCTTCAAAGTAGGTATTTCTCCCAGCCCAGGGTTAATTACACTTCAGTATTTCCAGGGCTTGGCCCCTATTAACCAACAAGGCTTGGTAGAAAAAGCAAAGCAGATGATCTGGAGAACAGGCTGTCTGCCTCTGCCACTGAGCTAGCTAGAAGGCCTCAGGATGTCACTTCACTAGCCTGACCAAGTATCTTTAAAATGGGAACACGACAGACTTTTCATGAGCATCAAAAGACAACTAGGAAGCTAGGTGTGGTGGCGCACGCCTTTAATCCCAGAACTCGGGAGACAGAGGCAGGTGGATTTCTGTGAGTTCAAGGCCAGCCTGGTCTACATAGTAAGTTCTAGGACAGCTGGGGCTACAGGGAGACCCTACCTCAAAAAGACCAAAAGAAAAAAAAGACAACTAGGAGCCTGGCACAGTGGTAGACGTCTGTAGTCCCAACTACTAGGGAGGCTGAGGCAAGAGAATCACTTATGCCCAGGGATTTGGGGCCAGCCTGGGCAACATAGGATAGTTTCTGGCTGTTGCCAGTGCTATGTGACAGAAGCCAGCACAGTAGACATAGGCTTCTAAGACCTCTGCTGACACTGGGCTGCCTCACTTTCTTGTCTAAAGTCTTCCAATTGCTCCCAGTGTCTGCACATAAAAACCACAGAACCGCTGGGCGTGGTGGCGCACACCTTTAATGCCTTTCATCCCAGCACTTGGAAGGCAGAAGCAGGGGGATTTCTGTGAGTTCAAGACCAACCTGGTCTACACAGTGAGTTCTAGGTCAGCTGAGGCTACAGGAGACCCTGTCTCAAAAAATAAAATAAAATAAAATAAAATAAAAAAAATAAAGAAACCACAGAACCAGCAGTAGCTGACTAGCTGACCAAATCTCCACAAAACATCCATGTTAAGAAAGGAGAGAAGCCATGAGGCCTGGTTCCACCAAGACCTAATGACAGGGCCTTGGTAGGATCCGTTTCTGGAACCTGTTCCCCTTTTTATGAAATCAGTCAATATACAGTCTCCCAGAAGTGTTAAGGGAAATAAAAACAGGAAAAGAAACAAAAGTCAAAACCCAAGGCCAAGAGGCAAGGGTTAATCCAGGAGTACCTGGTCAGTGACATCATACACCACGATGATACCATGAGCCCCCCGGTAGTAGCTGGAAGTGATGGTCCGGAACCGTTCTTGACCAGCCGTGTCCCACTACAAAACAGGAGGGAGAGGGGCAGGTCAGCCATAGGCGAACCACCCCCCCAAGGCAAGCATACTTCTGTTTCAGGGGCTGGAGGAGAGCCATGCTCACAATCTGAAGTTTGATAGTTTTGCCATCCAACTCGATGGTTCTGATCTTGAAGTCCACCCCAATGGTGCTGATGTAGCTCTCTGTGTATGTGTCATCCTGGAAGATTGGGACCAGTGAAAGAGCTTTAGCAAACAAGCCTAAGGCCCACTTGGGAAGCTTCTTTCCAGCTCCTTGCCCCAGCTGTGCCCCTCACTGCCAAGCCTTAGTTCTGAACACCCCAACCTGCTAGCCCCATCCCATGCCCTTGTTCAAGCAAGTCCTGCAACTTCATCCTTAGTTGCCAGGTCTTACAATTACTGTGCTCTGGGTTGCCCCTTCTTCCTCCCAGTAGCCATCCAGGACCCAAAGTAGATGATATGGGGGTGCTTCTTACTCACAGCAAACCGCAGGAGCAGGCATGACTTGCCTACGCCTGAGTCACCAATCAAAAGCAGCTTAAACAGGTAGTCACTGGAGAGAGAAGATGGGAAGGTGTGAAGGAAGGCAGGAGCCTTCCCCAACCTCCCATAGTGTGCATGACAGCACTGTGAGGCAGGTGTCTGCTTGGTATATGGTGTTCACCAGATCTACCCATGTCCTAGAAAGGAAGGGAAGGTCGACCCTTGCTAACCTCAGTAAGTTGGCCCATGAGACCCTCAGCTTGCTATGTCTGAATTTCCACTTTGTGGCAAAAGAGAGGCACTGAGGGACACAACTTGCCAAAAATCAATCAGTTAGGTGTCAGAGCTGAGACTCCATGGTTCTGTCCAGTAGGGACTATTTAGGGAACCCACACTAAGCCTTGTGGTGTACCACGCTAGAATCCAGATGTGAAAGCCAGAACCCATTAAGCAAAAATGTATTTGAAGAGCCCAAGATGAAGTCACCAACAAGAGCTGGTAACAGCAGCTAATGCTGAGCTGTAACTGGCCCTGGGTGAAGTACTTTAAATGCATCATCTCATGGAACGGTTACAACAGTACCTTTTAGTGTTATTCCCAACTACTGAGGAAATCAGAGGTCGAAGAAGGGAAGTGACTTGCCCTAAGTCACACAGTAGATAACTGCAGAAACCAGGCCTGTCAAACTCCAGGCTCCGTGACAGTCTGCAGCTTCCCTTCTCCCGTTCCCCCTCCTAACCCAGCTGAGCTTCACCCTTCCTCAAGGAAATCTGAAGCCTGGAGCTGGAGGGGGAAAAAAGGAAGTGGAAGAAGAGGAAGAAGAGCACTAACTCTAAACGGGCCATCTACTCAAAAGGGGAGTGTCCACGGTCTGAGGACTAGAGAGTCGCACTCCAAGGGGGAAAGCAAATTCCACTATCACCTAAAGTTTCCTGGCAGTGTGACAGCAGAGGGAAGCGGTGTGACAGTGGCACTGGAGGCCTGAGCAAAGGTGAGAGGGCAGGAAAGGCCAGGGCAAACCGCAAGCCCGGAGGAAGGACCTGCAGGGGACGCCAAGCCGGCAAGCGGGGCTTGGGGTCCTGTTGTGTCCCGTCAGCCTCTGGGCGAGCCCCGGGCTCCAGGAGAAAGGCAAAGGCCAGAGGTTCGCGGCCCAGCCCCAAGTAATCGAGTCTGGACTCGAGACCAGAAACTACTGTGATGGGTTCCAAACCGCTCGTCCGTTGTCAAGCAGCAGGTGGGGAAACTGAGGCCCGGGGAGACAGGATCTCGGGGTCACCGAACAGAAAAGGCCCGGAAGGCCGGTGCTTCGGACTTCAGGTGCTGCCCTTCGAGAGTGCCGCCTGCGGGCGATGGCTGCGGGAACTCGGGGTGTCGAGCCGGGGTCCTGGGGCTCCCGGGGGGAGGGGCACGACCCGGATGTGGGGGGGGTCAGCGGAAGAAGGACCCGGATGTGGGGGCGCCGCTCAGTTCTGACCGGGGCCAGACAACTTCGGTAAGCGTATAGCCCCGCAAATGGGATCGAGGCTGCGCCGCACGGCGCGGGCGGGGCTCACTCACTATTCGGGGTTCATGGCGGCGGCGGCGGCCCGCTCGGTCGCTCCCAGTCGGCTCTGCTCCGCCTCCCGTTCCAAGATGGTGGCCGCTCCGCCCTAGACGCCCCTCCCGCTTCGCGCAGGCGCAAACATTTCTAACTCTGGTAGCGCCGCGCTGCCTTCCGGAATTTGTAGTCTCCCAAGGATCCGATTAGTCCCTGCTGGGCAGGCGCAACCCGGCTGCGCACTGCCTTCTGGGGCTTGTAGTCTTCCCGCCATCTGGACTGACCGGCTGCAGACTCTTGCTTGAAGCAGGACCTACTGGAGGGAGCAGGCTCAATTTAGCGCCGGTAGTTTCACCTCTGAGAGGGGCCGCCGACCTCATCCTCTCGTGGAGAACATTAAATGAGAAGGCAAGTGGGATTTAGGACCAGAAAAAATTGACTTATTCAGGGTTCTTCGTGTGATGGGTACTCCACGGCCGCAGCCCCAGGATATCATCATTCAAATTGCATACAGGAACAATCGTCTCGGGAAATTCGCTCAAATCCAGAAACATTTTGACGGGTGGGTACGAGACATCAAAGGCGGCGCTGTCTAGAACCCCAGAAGTGCTGGTTTTAGCAGCAATCCCAAATCTGTGGCATCCCCAAACGACTCAAGATACGGGCAGAGTATGGGTTCCAGCCTCGCAGGACAGGGTATGAGCCCCACACCCTACTCTGGCAGCCTCTCCTGACTCCACCCCACCCTGAGCCTCCCCCTCAAAACAAGACTGGCTCAGATTCAAACCGTCTTTATTTCTACAGCAACATCTGAAAATAGAGCGACTGCCTCACCCCACAAATGGGTTAGCCCCTCCTACCGCGGTGTGTTGGGGGGCACCAGAAGCTGCGGGAACGGGAGGCGTGGCAGGATGGCTCGATGGGTGGCGCCCGGGGCGGGGTCAGGCCATGCCTGGGCAGAACGAAGTGGGAGGGACAGTGCATAAGACCGGGATGCAACGCAGAGCCCAGCGATATGGGAGACCTGGCAAGGGCAATGCGGGGTGGGGCACATCCCTCGGAGGCCATAAGTGCCTCCGAGGAGGTCCAGGGAACCCTTCCATTCCGAGAATGTAGAGCTTGGGAAATACCACCACGTGGAATGGGAGTGATTAAGGCCTGGGCGGTACCACTGGAGAAGGGCGAGGCAGGTGAAGGCCTGGGAGTACCATGGATTGAGGGGAAGACACGGCCAATAACTTATTTCTCTATATACAGAAGCAACGGCCGGGGTTGGGGGGCGGGGAGCGAAGGTACTGAGGGGGATGGCAAGTACTTAGTGTTCTTGGCTTTGAGGGCTGGGTAGGTAGGCTACCGGTCTTTGGAGCCTCCAGGCAGCCACTCCCATTAGCCCTCAACATAGGGAAGAGAGGCCTCTGCTGTAAGGAATAAATAAGGGTTAGAGCTGGAGTGGGCAGGCCAGGCCTCCAGGGCCCAGGCTGAGATGACAAGGGAGAAGGTTACCCTGAGATTGAACAGAAAAGACAGGGGTCCTTGGGAGGGACAGGTGGACAAGCAGCAGGCCCATGCGCAGGGCTGGGGGGAGAAGAGTTTGTGTTGGACTGAGGCTCTGGCAACTGGCTGCCCCTGCAGCTTTAGCCCACGAGGGAGCTTCTTCGGGAGAGGTCCATGGAGCTGGAGCTCAAGGTGCGGCTGTCAGAGAAACCTGTGCCTCCAGGCTGTGGGCAGAGGGGCATGTCACTTAGCCTCATGCTGCTAAGGTGGGGAGGGGAGAGGATGACTAGGAGGACAGCAAGGGGACAGGATGATGAAAAGGGCCTGACCCAACCAGGTCCTCAGTGCAAATGCAGTGAGTCCAAGACTGCCCAAAGGGAAGTGTGACCCATGCCTAGTGTCTGAGAGCTTCGTGTTGGCACTGGGTGAACACCCGGTGTAGGGGCTATGCTCCCCTTTATTGTGCACCCTCTCCTGTTGTTTCCACCAGCCTCCCCCAGTCCAAAGCAGGCCTGCAACCTGGACAGAGCTGCTGCTGAATGAAGACGTAAACTAGAAGTTGGGTGGGGACATAATAAATCAGGGGCCCAGGGACTGTTGGTAGAGGTCTACACTTCGGCTGCCTAGAGCCAGATGCCTTCCACCCTTACCTGGACTGGCTCTTCTACACTCTTGTTGAGGAAGTTGAGAGAGCTGGCCCTCTTCATCCTGAGGGAAAAGGAGGACCAGGATTTGCCCATGGTGAAAGGGGGAGGGACATCAGGTTGGAGCTGGGGAGGGAGGACAGGTGAAGAAAGCAGACTTGGGTGGTAGTGATTCCTCAGAGGGACGGAGCAGTCACTTGGGGTCCAACAGGACACACTCAGGAGCTCACCTGGGATTAGGAGGCTCTTGTGGGCTGCCCCCCTGCAGTTTCCTCACTAGCATCTCACTGCTTCGTCTCAAGGCATCCCGGAGCTTCCCAAAAGAGCCACTGCGCCGCAAGGAGCCACTGCCGTCCTGTAGGGGAAGGCCTGTCTGTAGGCCCTACTGTCTCTGCATTCTCACAGCCCATCCCAGCCCCAACACTCACTCCACTCCACTCAGCTGTAGGCCCTGACTCCTCAAAGTCAGACTCAGGCCGAGGCCCAGGACCCCCAGCTACATCTCGGCTGCCACGACGGTCTCCTCGTCCACCACTACCATCTTTTAGTAGTTCCACCACCTTGGTCTGGCTGGCAGGATCCAGGCCCTGAAAGGGGAAAGGGGCATCAGGCCCTGACTGAACCATATACAGGGCCTCTTAGGTCCTTGCCCATCCTCCTCCTCTGTAGACCCCCCACCTGCTTGCGGCTGCGGCTGGCACAATCTTCCAGTGTGTGCGCAGCTTCCAGCTTGCCCTGACGCCGGTACAGGGCTCCCAAGCTGCGCAGAGTGGTGTTGACTGTGGGGCTATAGACAGACAGCAGAATAGTCTCAAACTCCTTATCTGGCTTTCAGCCCACACAGGTCCCTGAGGAACCAACAGGTCATCCAGAGTTTAGCCTTTCCCATTTGTCTGGCCCTGTGCTAGACTCACTGGTCTCTCCCATCCTGAGAAAACCACTCTAGGGTCAGGACCTGGTCCATAGCCTTCCTAGGATATTGTCACCAGAACCAGAGGCTAGGAGACCCAGGAGTAAGTGAACCAGGCTGTCCCAGTGCAGTCTTTTGGGATCAGGTACTTTGAAAGATGAGCTAACAGAGAGGCGACCCCGGGATGGAAGGATGGAGTGGGAAGTCTGGGTCTCAATGCTGATTCTCTGCTATTCACTCTACTTCCAAGACAGACCTGTCAGCCCTCACCTGTCAACTTTACAGGCTTTGTACCAGCTGCCATATTCCCCATAGGGGGTGTTGTCCCGGCGCTTATCCTGAAGGAAAGACCAGTCAGGGGAGGTCCCAGCCTCATGCCCTCCCCACACCTGCAAGTTCTGCTCACAGTGCTACCTTGCTTTCCTCTCGTTCCTCTGCATGCATCCAGATGGGCTTGTTGTCCCCTGGGAGGAGATAGGGGACTATCACCAGCCTATCATCTAAGCCTCTCTGATTAGGCTAGACACAAGACTGACTTCTGGGGAAGGGCAGGAATACCCAGGAGAGACCAGGATTGGGCTTTGTTGAATAAATGAACAAAAAACAAATTGAAAACATCACTGACCCTCTTCTGAACTCAGATGAACAGGGCATAGGTCTGTGTCAAGTGGCTTGTAAATGGGTTGGGGGTAGGGGTGATGCCACATACCCTTACATATCAGAGATATGTGATGGGCCTAAATGATGGACCAGGCTGAGGGATGGAGAGCAGGAAATGGCTGGCCACAAGGGAAAGAGGGCTGTCTCCCAGAAGGAAAGATATTTGGGCCTGGCCCTCAACGTGAACAGGAGTTGCCATATGGAGAAAGGAGAAGACTCAGGATGGAGGTTTGCGAAGGTGTCTGGTCAGTGCAATGAAGTAGGTGCGTGGGCTCCCATGGGCATGAACTACAGGCGAGGTTAGGCTTCTAGTCAGACAGGAGGCATGCAGGCTGGCAGGGCCAAGGACTGTCCTGGGTGCTCATAGCTAAGGAAGCCTGCAGTGGATGTGCTAGAGGCACGTGACAGTCATGAACTCACCATTGACTGAGCCAAACTCCTTCTCATGAGCACGGGTAAGGATCTCCTTGTATAGGGTCTCTGCATCCTGGTACTTGCCCTGTTTCAGGTAGCAGGAAGCCTGGAGGGGAAGACAGAGGGTAAGCAACACTTGTTGTTTCCCCTCTCCTTCCCCATGGTCACCAGCCCTTCCTCCTTTCCAGCCTCCAGTCAGCCCCAGAGCACCAGGTTGTTCTTGGTCTTGGCCACATTGGGGTCGTCTGGCCCAAGGCGCGTGGCATAGATCTCCAGTGCCCGCCGGTAGTAGTACTCCACTTCCTCAGCTTTGCCCTGGTTCTGGCACAGCAAGGCAAGGTTGCTGAGCTGCTTGGCCACATCTGGGTGAAACTTACCCAGGACCTGGCATGAAAGAAGTCAGTGGCTGGGGTCAGAGCTGCCCAGACCCCGTCTGCCCAGCACTCCCAGCCCTGCTTGCTCCTACTTTCTCCCGGATCTCCAGTGCCCGCTTGCACAGTGGCTCAGCCTCCTTGTACTTGCCCCGCTTGCCATACAGAACAGCCAGGTTGTTCAGTGTCGCAGCCACCTAGGCGTAGGAAAAGGGCGATGCCTTCACCCAGGGCCCTAGTGGGCAGACTCTGGGACCTATGCAGGGTGGAGGGCTTACTCACAGCTGGATGGTCCCTGCCCAGCGTCTTCTCCCGGATGGCCAAGGCATCGTTGAGCAGGTGGGCAGCATCCTTGTATTTGTTTTGGTCCCTGGGAGCAGACAGGACATTCAGAGATGTCCTCCAGCCCAAGGGCCCCCCAGGGACATTCCTCCCAGGATCACTGATGAGTGGACATGACAGGAATGCAATTCAGAGCATGGGAGGCCTGAGTAGCCCTGCCTTTGAGAGCTCTGAGGGTATCAGGCAGTTTACCATAGCTCACCTGGGCCCTACTTCATGCCCAGACTACTAAGCCATACTTAATTTTAAGTGCATCTTGCTTACTACTGTCACTTTATACCACAGAAACCCTCTTCAACCTTAATAAATTTTGGACCAATCCCCCCCTCCTTTTTTTTTGAGACAGGGTCTCATACATCCCAGGCTAGCATTGAACTAGCCAGCTCTGTAGCTAAGGATGACTTTGAATTCCTGACTATCCTGCTTCTACTTCCTAAGTGCTGGGGTTACATTGTGTACTATCATACCTGGCTTCCAACAGTTTTTTGAGGGGAGGGGATCCTCCCTACATAACCCTGGCTGGCCTGGAACTCGCTATGTAGACCAGGCTGTCCTCAAACTCTTCCTCCCAAGTGGTGGAATTAAAGGTGTGTGCCACCATGCCTGCTCTCTAACTCACTCTTCAAAGTCCATACTCAAACCTTGGTGCCTATTGAAGCCGTGCTGACCCCTAGGGACTCTGGTGTGCCATCCTTGTTGTTCACAGCAAAGCCTTTCTCAAAACTCTAGCAGACAGCTTTGTTCCCAGCTGGAGGCCAGCTCCACACAGGCGCTTCTTTCTCTGCTGTTCAACTGCCCCTGGAACCATCCACGGAACGAATGCAGTTATGCCAACATGGCCATAGGGCCCTCACCGATAGACCAGTGCCAGAATGTTCAGCATGGTGGCCACATCAGGGTGGTCGTGGCCTGACGTCTTCTCCAAATCCTCCAGTGCCTGCTTGCAGAGGGGTACGGCCACCTCATAGCGGCCTTGTGACGCATACTGGATCACTAGATTGTGCAGGGTGCGGAGTCTTGCTGGAATTTCATAGCCCCCATGTTGGGCAGCCACATCCCCTCCTCCAGGGCTGGGGGCTGTAGGGCCAAGGGCAGGAGGTTAGATGTGTCTCCTTCCCTCTGGGCTGGCACATGCCTTTTGCCCATGTGTCCCTGGACAAATCACCACCCTGCCTCAGTTTCTGCACTTAAGTAGGTTTCAATACTATACAGTGAGTCCCAGCCCATCTCAGAACCTTGGCTTCTGCATCTGCACTGTGAGGCATGCACAACCCAGCACAGCAATGTCCTGCTAGAGTTTCCTCAGATCATTTAACCAGGCCCAGAGAGAAACTTAGCAGCAGTGCCAGACTCAGATCATCCAGAGCTGCTGACCAGGGCACCTGCTCCCTGCCAAGCTCAGGGATATAAGGTACAGCAAGGAGGACTTGCCTTATCATCTCTAACAGGCTGGGATGTTATGATTGGAAATGGGGCAAGGAAGAACATGGCTGCTGCCATGAGCTCCATCTCCTGGACCTCTAGGACTTCATACCATTCCTTCCCCCAACCCAGAGCCATCTGCCCTTCTGCACCTGGGCTCTGCTCATCCTCGTTGGGAAACAGGTCATCCAGGGAGTCTTTAGGGACATCACTCTTCTCCTCCTGGGAAAGAAGACAGGACTAGCGTAAGGGAAGGTGGCGTGGGTATCAGTGGGTCTTGTGTGAGCTGTGTGCTGGCCAGCTGGGACTCACGTTGGGGGAAGCATCCTCATCCAGCTTGCGGATTTGGCTCATGAACAGCAGGTGCTGCTTCTCTTCCTCCAGCTGAGCCACTGCCTGCTCGCTGCGCTGCAGCTTCTGCTGTGTCCCCGCCAGCTCCTCACGCAACCACTGGTTCTCCTGTACCAGGCGCCGCACCTGAGCCCGCAGCTTCTGCTTCTCTGACTCCACAGCCCCCAGGTGGCTGGACAGTGCCAGGATCACCTGTGCAGCCAGCCAGATATGATCAGAACGCGGGCTACCCCTCAGCCTGCAATTACAGCCTCAGCCACCTGGGGGCCAGTATAGGGCCTGGTCCAGCCTTAGAGTAGCAGGAGGGACTTGGGGTGGGGGCAGGGTTGGGGTGGGGGGTGTAGAGATCCTCCTCCCCAGGCCCAGATCACAGTCCAGAGCTGAAACCCAGGTTTGGGAATTCTGACTGCTTCCTTCTGATATCCCTGAGCTCCCAAACTCTTCCTTTGTTTCTCTTCGGTCTACCTCCGGCTGCAGCTATAACTAATCCATCACTAGCCTAGGGCTAGTGCTTCCTCAAAGAATGCTGATAGACAGCTGGATGGCCACAGAAAGACCCTGACTTCTGCTAAGGGTCCCTAGCATTCTGCCTGCTGAAGCTTTCAGGAAGGGATGCAGTATGTACTCCAAGCCCCACAGGGTCTGAGGAATCAACCACAGGGGCAGGTAAGGGAATCCACTTCACCTCAACCCCCAGCTCTCTCCAATTTCTGACTTCCTCCCTGAGCTCTTTCTGCCCTGGGCCTTGGCATAGGCTCAGGGTCCAGGCCTCTTTTCAGTGTTGCTTTCCCCTCTGCTCCATCTCTACACCCAGCCTCACTGCCTACACCCTCTACATCTTCCTGATCATCATCTATGAAAGACCTGCATGCCACTGAGAGTGGGACCCCTGTGTAGCCAGCTCTCTCTCTACCTGACAGCCAACTGCTTAAGGTAGTAACACACCCTTCCAGAAGGTTGGGTAGTCTAGGACCCTGCACTTTCTGGTTTGTTAGCAATGTTTTAAGTGACAGGTGTTCTCACAGCCACTACCTTAAAGAAATTCCCTAACCAACTTGGAAGAATATACAACAGATGGCATGATCCCCATTTTAAAGACAAGGAAAACAAGATAAAAGCTGCCCGGGATTTCTGGAGCCAGGTAGTGGCTTGGCCAAAAGCCAAGAGAAACAAAACCCTTTCCCAGAAACTCTAACTTCTTCCCTTTCTGAAAGCCCTAAAAGACCTCCAGAACCATCTACTCTTTCATCCCTGAACTTGCCAAAAAGCACAAACCAGGGAGCTGTGCCATCTTCCCCCTACCCCCCTCCATCCCAGGTCCTGTTAAGCTTCCCTGCAGAACGTCTAGAACTGGTCTCTCGCCCCTCGAAGCTACCCCTTTCATTCAAGCTGCCCTCTTATTTGAACTCCACCAATGGCTTCCTAATCACTTGCTTCCATCCTCGATCCACTAAGATTTACTCTCCATAGATCCATAGATCGGCCTATGTTCTCTGGCTGTTAGAATCCTCCAAATGTTTCTTGAGTTATTGGTCATGTTCTGGCTTCTGCCTCCCACAGGCCTCGTCCATCCCTCTTTCCCTCCTCATTAAGCTCTAGCCACATAATTCTTCTCCCCATTGTCCCACATCTTCCTACCTCAAGATCTTTACATAAGCAACTTCTCCTCCAATTCCCTATTGGAGGCTGGTCTATTTCTTCCTTCAAGTCTTAGTTTAAGGTCATCTCAGATAAGTCTTGCCTGACCAATAAACTAGACTCCCGATTTTAAACCCTCACAAGATCTTGTTCTTTTCTTTGGAGCACTGATCGAAATTTGTTACAATTGTGTATGTTTCTATTTTCCTACTGGACTAGAAAAAAACTTAATGGGGGAGGGGCATAAAACAGGATCTTACAATGTGACCCAAAACCGGTCTGGAACTTGCAATGCTCCTGTCTCCATCTCCCAGGTGCTGCATTTCTGACACCATGCCCAGTGAGGGCAAGGGTCCTGCATCTTTGGCATTAACACACTGTCTGGCACATATTAAGCATGTGATAAACTAAATAACTAGTGGGCGACTGAATTGTAAGGGGGCATTATTGTGTGGCGGTTAGGGGTGCTCATGGGGGCAGGGCTGGGGTCTCCAAAGTGTATTCATTTCTTGAATACATGCTGTCCTAACATGGGACTCCAAGAGACAAGTGCTTCCCTGCTGAGATTCTGTTCCCACACTACCAGGATCTTTCCAATAACCTCCCTCCCATCTCGGCCCCCCAGACTGTCCTACCTGGGCCTCCCCAAGCCCCAGCTCGATGGCCTCCAGGGATCGGCGCAGGAGGAGGCAGCGCTCCTGAGAGCCCGGCTCGGCCTCGCCAGCCTCATGAGAAGCTAAGGGAGCCAGCAAGGCACGATGCTCTCCGCGCAGGGTCTCCAGTCCCTGGATGACGGCCTTGGTGCCCAGCACTATCTCGTCCTGGCTCAACTTCTCCTCCCGAGGAAGCACCATCGTGGCCATGGTCGTACTGCCTGTCGAGGCGATGGGCGGGCAAGCGGGCGCCGGGCCTAGGGCCACGCCGTGCACCCCAGGTTAGGTAAACACAGGGCGGTCCCGGAACGCCTGCGTCCCCAGAGGGGTCCAGATCCCCCAGCCGGCAGCCCGCGCCGTGCCAGCCCTCGGCCTACAGGGGGCGCGCCAGGCGCGTCTCGCCCTGGGAGACGCAATGCGGTGCGGCGGGTGAGATGGACCCTGATGCCGCCCAGACCCGGGCTCGGGCCGGCTGCCGTAGCCCAGGCTCTCCCGGAACTGCCCCCCGTCAGGACTCGCAGCACCAGGGCACGGTTCAGGGTCGGAGCAGCTCCAGGGCCGGGCGGTCGGGCTTCAGACGGGGCGACAGCCCCCTCGCCAGGCTGGCCGCGCGGACCCTCCCCTAGGGGCTGGGAGTGGGCTGGGGGACCGGTTCCCACAGGCCTCCACCTCCCTACAGGGCCCGAGCTAGACCCCGAGTCCGGACCGCGCCCCCTCCCCGCAGGCCGGTCCTCCCACAGGCCGCGCCCACGGCGACTCCTCCTCCGGGCCGGGCGCAGCCAGTCCCCGCGGCAGGACCAGACCCCTAACCCCGCACCACAGGCCGGCGCCGACCTGCACGTACTGCTTGGAACCAGCTCCCGCTCTGGCTCCGACTCCAGTCCGGCTTCACCGCGATCCGCAAAGGCAAGCCACTCTCGCTGCCTCCATCCCGCCGGCCTTCCCAGCAGTCCCCGCGCCGCCTTAAAGGTGAAGCCGCTACCTCCGCGGCGTCGGAGGGGGCGAAACACGCTCCACTGAGCCGACTCGCTGCCTTAAAGGAGCCCCGCGGGCCCGAGACTCTAGGGGCGGAGCCAGTAAGGGGCGGAGCTGCCGAAGGGGAGGGGCGGGGCGCGCCCCCATGGGTCTGGGAGTCTGCATTTGTGAAATGCCCGGAAGCCTCCAGCGTTGGAACCACCACCGCACTCTGCGGGTGTGGGTAGGGGGAGTGGGGGATGGGAGTGGCGAGGGGAGGGATAGCCTGGACTAAGGCACTAGGAGAAGGCTACCCCCTCATGGAGTCCAGAGAAAGGCATTTATTGAGCGCTTACCGAATGCTTTGGTAGGTGTTAATGCTCACCAAGACGGGTTGAGGTGGAGGCTGCCATCACCCATAGGTCTGACCACGTCCCACCCCTAGGCTAGCGCCCCTTCCTGCCTTCGGATTTCTCTGTCTCTGTAGGTCTGTAGGGAATTTGCAACATCCTAGGATTTCTTCTTGGCTAAAAGGGACAGGCGGACATCAGTGGGGAGAAGACCCACCCATGCGCTGTAGGTGAACATCTGGGCAGATGCTGCTGACCAAATGATCAAGTCAAGAAAGGCCTCTGGTCTGCGATGGTGTTCAGTGGGAACTCAGATTAGATATCATCAACTCAGAAGAAAGGACCTCCTTGATCCCCACCTCACTTTCTACAGTGGTCTGCCAGCCTCTGCAGTGCAGTACACTCACTTTATCTCGCTTGTCTAGGGCATAAGCCTTTATGACATTCTTCTAGAATGCAGGCCAGCAGCCACCTGTCAGGTTCACTCCAGAAGTAGCTCAAGATAGAGGCTATAGCAGCATTCCATAGATGCTGGCTTACAAAGAGCCAGGGGAATATTCTTGGTGATCTTGACCAGTCCCTCCAAACCTGGGTCTAGTCTGGCTCCCTGTAACCCTAGGTCAGCACTGCCCTCATCCAAATTCTGGGTTGACAGCTCTAGAAGCTGATGGCAAGATCATTTCCAGAGGGTCAAAAGCTGCACAGTGAGGGGCTGGAGAGATGGCTCAGCAGTTAAGAGCACTGACTGCTCTTGCAGAGGACCCGGGTTCGATTCCCAGCACCCACATGGTGGCTATGAACCATCCTTAACTCCAGTTCCAGGGGAATCCGAAGCCTCTTCTGACCTCTGCCGTATTGCACAACACGGGTGCACTCACATACATGCAGGCAATACACTCATACACATAAAATAAAATGTTTGTTAATTTAAAAAAAAGAGCTGCACAGTGAAAACTGATACAGGCATTCTAGGCACCTGGGGTAGGCCTGGGTTCAGGCTCAGTTGACCAGTCTGAGCATTCTTATGGATGCTGAAATCCCCTTGGTACCATCTTTCATAGAGAGCTAGCCCTGCACCCTTAGCTTGAGTACCTGCTATGACAAAATCACTCCTTTTGTCCTGCACTTGGGAGGCAGAAGCAGGTGGATCTCTGTGAGCTCAAGGCCAGCCTGGTCTACATAGTGAGTTCCAGAACAGCTGGGGCTACAGGGAGACCCGTTCTCAAAAAGACCAGAAAAAGAAAAAGGCTTTAAAAAAATTAAAAAATAAGCCGGGTGTGATAGTGCACACCTGTAGTCCCAGCACTCGGGAGGCAGAGGCAGGCAGATCTCTGTGGGTTCAAGGCCAGCCTGGTCTACACAATGAGTTCTAGGCCAGCTGGGCTACAGGAAGACCCTGTCCCAAAAAGACCAATAATTAGTTAATTAATTAATTAAAAAATAAAAGGTTAGAAAGTTGTACTTGTTTTTTATTTTACGTGTATGGGTACTTTGCCTGCATGTATGTAAGTACACCCATGTCATACAAAGCTGGCGGAGGCCAGAAAAGGGTGTTGGATCCCTTGAAACTGAAGTTACAAAAGGTTGTTAGCCACCATGTGGGTGCTGGGAATTGAACCTGGGTCTTCTACAACAGCAGCCAGTGCTTTTAACCCACTGAGCCATCTCTCCAGTTCCCAGAAATGTGTTTTTTGTTGTTTGTTGTTTTCCTGAAATAGGGTCTCATATAGCCCAGGTTGCTCTCAGATTCGCTATGTAGTTAAGGAAAACCTTGAACTTTGGATCTTCCTGCCATCATCTCCCAACTGCTGGGATTACATGCTTGCACCACTATGCCCAGTTTTATTCTGGACATCAAACCCAAGGCTTCATGCATGCTAGGCAATCACACTCTACCATCTGAGCCACATCCCCAGCCTAAAGGTTAGAAAGTTTTTAGATTATTTTAGATAATCCCAAAGTGCCTTCCTGAGGCGTTCACTCATAGCTTATGACTTCAGCAGGAACTCGGTTCCCGTTAGGCCGTAGAGCTACTCAGAGACAGGGACAGCTTCACTCAGTCTTCTCTTCGTCTGGGCTTGCCCCGTTTCTTTCACCCAGTCTCCTGATCCTTCCCCTTTCTGTCAGTCCAGATGAGGCTCAGAACGTGGTAGCAGTCCACGGTAAAATGATCCATAAAGGGAGTGAACTATATGGTCACTAAGTAGTGGTCTCACGCCACCAAGGGATCTGGGGATATGTGCACCTGTACTATATCCATGATAGCACTTGCCTAGCATATGCGAGACTCTGGGCTCAAACCCAGCATTTTTTTTTTTTTTGGTTTTTTTGAGACAGGGGGCATTGTATGACATGGGTGCAGTTACATAATACACTCATACACATAAAATAAAAATAATTTTTTTATTATTTTTATTTTATGTGTATAAGTGAGTGGCTTGCCTGCTTGTGTAAGTGCACTCAGGTCGTGGAATGCACGTGGAGGTCAGAAGAAGGCATCAGATTCCTTGGAACTGGAGCTACAGATGGCTGTTAACCACCATGTGGGTGCTGGGAATCGAACCCAGGTCCTCTGTAAGAGCAGTCGGTGCTCTTAACCTCTGAGCCATTTCTCCAGCCCTAAAACCTTATTTTTATTTTGTGTATGTAGTGGGGGGCGATGCATATCATGGCACTCATGTGGAGGTCAGAGGACAACTTCTGGGAATCAGTTCTCTGTTTCTGCCATGTGGATCTCAGGGATTGAACTCAGGTCCTCAGTTTTTGCAAGAAATGCCTTTAGCTCGCTGAGTCATCTTGCCAGCTCCTATCCATAATTTTTCAGATAATATATATATATAT